AAGCAGCTCTTTTTTTGGCACGGGAGCCATTCCAGCATCACAGCCAAACAGTCCTGAAAACGCCCTGTCTCCTGGCGGGAGCCCAAGCCTCCATGTCATTCATGTCCATCCCAAGCTGCCCTTCCCTCCTCCAGACATTCCCTGTGTCCCTAAACCAAACCCACCCAGCCATGCAGCGCCCGGCCAGGTGCCCCGGGGACGAGCTCCCAGCCGGCTCCATCTGGACAAAACAGCCTGTGCTTACGTGTAAAAAGGCTGCAAACTGCCCTAAACCCGCAGCAAACCACGCGGGGCACCCACCATCCCAACCCACACCCTCCCAAGTCCCCAAGGGGACTCACACGGATGTTGTCGAAGGACATCTTGCTGGTGATATCGTAGAGCAGCAGCAGGGCTGGAAGGGAAGAGGCAAGAAGCATTTCCCTGCTGCAGGGATGAGCTCTCTCTCCCCTGTCCCTACCAGATCTCAAACCCACCTTGTGCATCCCTGTAGTAGGCGTGGGTGACGCTGCGGAAACGCTCCTGTCCTGCCGTGTCCCAGATCTGCCGAGAAGCCGCCCCAGTGAGAGCAGGGAGGGAAAAGCCCTCCCCCTGGCTGGGGGGACTCCTCTGCGGCTCCCAGCCCACTCACTCTCAGCCCAGGGGGTGCTTTTTCCATCGGGATGGCTGGGAAATGCTCACCCCCTCCCAAAGCTCACCTGCAGCTTCACCTTCACGCCATCCACGGCCACCACTTTGTTCTGCAGAAGAGAAGGACAGCAGGTTCGTCAGCCCAAAGCACACCTTGGCACGGGTGCCAGGCAGTCCCAGATTGGAGCAAGGCATGTCCCAGCCCCTTGGCTTCTCTCCCCTGGCCTGTGGGGTGAAGCCAGGCTGCCCACGGGGCTGGACGTTGAAGCCTCATTGCTACAAAGCCCTGGTCCTGCCGGGGGGGGCAGCAACAGTGACCCCCTGGTGCAGTATCCCCCCGTGCCAGGGTGGAAATGAGAAGAATCAGGCTCTGATGGACACAGGCCAGCAAGATCCAAGCCTGCTTTGGATCCAGTGCCTACAGCCAGCACCCCTGTCCTGTGGCTCCCAACACACTAATGCACTGGCTAATGATGGTGGTTGCCCCACAAAGCCCAGGGACACTGATCTGTTCCAGGTCCTGCCAGGTAGTCCTGGGCTTGCAGCTACCCCTGGACTGGTTCTGGAATTGTTTAAAATGGAAATTCAGCTGATGTTGAGATGACCAAGTTTGAGAAATTGGGCTGAATAAAACAAAACCAAACCTGTGCCCTAGTGGACTCTGGAATTTACCCACCAGCTGCAAGCCATGGGCTGCTGGAGGGACCACTTGCACAAGGCACAGCTCACAACACCCCTGGGGCCACCAGCACCCAGCCCAGCAGTGGGATGTGGCAAGTTTTCCTTCTTTCATTACTTTATTGGGAGGCCAGGCTATAAGACCCCTCCAAAACAAACCCATAGCTCACTCCCCACAGCCCCAACTCATAAACCCTCCAATTCCCCCCCCTGCCAGCCAAGAGCAGCCCGAGCAGCAAAGGCAGCAGCAAACCAGAGCAGCAGAGGCAGAGGAAACGCCGACCGCGCTCGGCACGTGTCAGCAGAGCCTGCCTGGGGCCCCCTGTCACTTCCAGCTTGCTGAAACATACTCTGTCCCGTGCTGCAAACAGCTCCTGCATCTCCAAACAAAACCCTGCAGCTGAAATTTGGTGGACAGAGAGCAGCTGGATGGTTGAAACGGAGATCCCATGACTGTAACCGCTCCTCGGCAGCACATCACAGCCCTTTCCAGGCACAAAATTGCAGCAACCAGTGTTTGTCCCCCCAGGCTGTTGGCCTTGGCCTGGTCAGTGGAGCGTGTGGCCACCCACCACACACCCCCCACCCACAGGATGGGCTAAACCCTCCATTTTTGCTGATTTAAAGGCGAGAAGGAACATTTCCAGTGGACTCTTCTGTCTCTTACTGCTCTCCCAGGGAGAGGTGAAAAGGTTTCAGCAAGCACCTGCAGCTGGCTGGGAGATTATTTTGGGTGCAGAGGCTGGAAACCCCCTGCCCCCCTTCCTAGCGCCCTATCCTGGCCAAGGTGTGGGTCAGGAGAGGCAAGGGGCTGGCAGCCACGGTGGTCTCACCCGGAAATCTATGCCCACGGTGGCTATGAACGTCCCGGAGAGAAAGGCTCCATCTTTGAACTGGAGCAGGAAGCAGGTTTTCCCCACGCCTGAGTCTCCAAGTAACATCACCTGCAAGATGGGCGCAGGGAGAGGTGTCAGCAGGATGGGGAGGGGTGCTGAGCCCCCCCAGTCCCTTGTGTCCTTCTGTTTCATTCTCCAGAGCTGGTTCTGCTGGGTCTGGGAGGGCCCTGTGAAAGCTGGAGTTGGGATGGGATGGGGACCCTGAGGGTGCAGCCAAGAGCAGCCTCCATCTGCCAGCGAAGGGAAGAGCAGAAGAGAGCTGCTGGGAAGGCAGGTACCACAGCAAGAAGAGATGTTCCCTGGCCAGCCCCAGCCATGTCTCAGCACAGGTGGTTCCTGGACAACCAGTCACAGCTCCCAGACACGTGGAGCCACCTTCACCCACTCTTTGCCCCCAGCCCGGGTGTGTCCAGCCCAAGGGCTGATGCATGGCCTGGGCAAACCCCGCCGTGTCCGGGACTCTTGCCCTGCGGGTGCCCAGTGCCCTGCCTGGCACAGACACCAAAGCAAACACAGCACCTTCTCCCCTCCTGCTAAGCAAACAGGCTCAGCCTGGCTCCCCAATCGCTCTGACACCACCAGACCCAGGGAGGCAGCAGCCAAGATTGATGCTGGTCCCAGTAAGCACAGCTTTACCCACCACCCCAACTCAGCAGCAGCAGCCCTTTCCTGCCCAGCAATAATTAACCTGGGCCTGACTGCATCTATGGCAGTGAGCAGGACTCCAGCAAGACGGTCCAGTCCTGTAAGCCCACCCTGGAGGGATGCTGGAGCCTGCAAAGCAAATCCACGAGGGCCAGGCAAACACTGGGAGCCGTGGCCCATCCTGGGCAGGGGTGGCACAGCAAACATCCCATGGGCCAGCACAGCCAGAGCTGGGGGCTGGAAATTCTTTGCCTCCTGCCAGTTCACTTTACTGGTTAAATGCTTCCCTGGGACACATCAAGCCAGGCCAGGCTGTGGGGCAGCTCAGCTGGGAACACCACTTAATTCTGCCTTCACCTTGCTCCAGACCAAGCTGGCAACTGATTTCCTCCCTCAAAGTCAAAAATCGGACCCCACTGAAAGGAGTCAGAGTGGAGAGGATAAAGGCAGAAGAATAGAAACAGTTTAGGGAAGGTGGCAGCTTTGGGAGCCAGTGAGGTGAGGCAGCAGGAGTTCTCAGGGCTGGCACTGTGGGTGCTGGGCTCAGCCTGGGGCTGTGCAGGAAATTTTTTGGGTAAAAGGTTAATTGACCCCATGCCCCTCCTGTGTCACTGGGAAGAGGAGGGTGCTTCCCCAGGGAGACCTGGGCTGAGAGGGGTTGGGGAAGAGTGGGGCACTTGGGGAGGGGAGTTCCCACCTCAATGCCTGGCAGGGGCAAGGGGGCTGCAGGGGGCTGTGGTGCCCTGGGCTGGCTCAGCTCTGGGGCACACTTGCTGCCCTCCCCCCTCTGGTGTCCTTGGAATGCTGGGATGGGCTGGATGGGGTCCTGCTTCCCCTGCTCTGGAGCAGGGGGGGCACAACTTCACCAGCTGGCAGGACCCCCCTTGCCTGAAGAAGAGCAGGACAGGCAGAGTTCGGCTGTGCCCCCCGGGGGTCCCGCAGCTCACCAAGCCGAGAGCCCCCAAAGCCCTATTCCTGCAGTTGGGCCACCGGGGCCACCAGACACCCCTCCCCCGCCTGCCTGAAGAAGAGCAGGACAGGCAGAGCTCGGCTGTGCCCCCCGGGGGTCCCGCAGCTCACCAAGCCGAGAGCCCCCAAAGCCCTATTCCTGCAGTTGGGCCACCGGGGCCACCAGACACCCCTCCCCCGCCCCACATCACCTCCTCGGGGGAGGGACAAACCAAGGGCCAAGAACTCCCCCCGCCCCCGGGGCAGGGACCCCCTATCTCCACCTTCCAGGGGCTAGAGGACCCCCATCCCCACAGCTGAGACCCCCCGGGGCAGGGCTGGGGTTGCTCAGCTGGGGCTGCCGCCTCCTTCCCCGTCCCGCAGACGTTTCCTGGGCTCAAGCCCAGCAACGGAGGAAGAGGGCGGCCCCCGGGGACCCCCCCGGACCCCTCCGGACCCCCCTGAGTCTCCTCCGGGCTGGTGGGCGAGCCCCAACCTTCACTCCCTGTAGGACTTCGGGGGGTCCATCTGCCCAACCGCAGCCTCCCACCTTGCCGGCCAGCTCGTAGCTCCCGGGCAGTGCCGGGGGGGCCCCGCTGCCCACCGGGGTCTCCTCGCTCCCCGCCGGGGGGGTCCCGCTCCCCGCCTCCCCGCCGGGGCCGCTCATGGTGCGTCCGAGAGGAGCCGCCGAGTCCCGGGACCAGCGGGAGCTGCGGCCCCACCCGGCCCGCCTTCCTCCCTCCTCCTCTTCCTCCTCCTCCTCCCCGGCTGATGCCACCCCCGAGGCTGCGTCCCGGGCTCCTGCCGGGCCAAGGGATGAGGAAGAGGAGGCTCAAGGCTGGAAACCGGGCCCCCCTGCACCCCACCTCGGGGTGTTTGGGTTTGCCCGAGGGCTGGGCAGAGCCCTGGCACGTCCCCCCGGGCACGGGGAGAGGAGGAACCGGCCCCGCTCACCCCACAAATCAACAGCCCGTCCCCTACGGGGTGCGGGGATGGAGACCCCGGTGCTGCCAAATCACCCCCAGTCCCGCCGCGTCCATGAGGAGGCAGGTTCCATCCCCCCGGCCCCCCCGAGGGGGGGGTTTGTCCCGTCTGCTGCTGCCCCGACGGCTGCCGAGCCGGGCCCCGGGCGAGCAGCGGCGGAACGGGCAGCGGGGGGGAAATGAGAAGCAACGACCGCTCGCCGGAAGGCTGGGCTGCTCCCCGCTCCCCACAGCTCCTCCCTGCCTCCTGCCCCGGCCCTTGTGGCCCGGCTCCTGGGGCACTTCACTCGGGAAAAGCCCAAGGCTAGGAATGTGCGAGAAGCCCCGGGAGAGAAGCCAGGGATGTTGTTACTCAAAAAGTCCCTCCACAAAGCCCCATCCAGGCAGTACAGCTGCCCGGGGTTCTCACGGGCACTGCCACCACCCCATGGATAGGAGCTGTCAGCCCCCTGTGTTGCCTTTTCCCTGGGATAACCAGCCCATTTTGCCCTCACCGGGGCTGGTCCCAGCACAAACCCCACAGCCATGCTCACTCCTCTGGGATTCAGGCTTGCAGGGCTCCAGGGCAGATCCAAGCCCCTCACCACCCTCCAGTTGAAGGCCACACCATGGGAGATCTGATGGCAGAGATGCCACCCACTTCTGGACCTTTCCAGGCTGCCTGCTCCTGCCCCAGCCAAGGCTTCCTCTGCCCCTCGGGAAAGGGAACCTGTATTTCCAGTCCCGTAACTGCACTCAGACCCAGATTTATAGTTAGTGCACACTCTTTGGTCAGGGAAGTGCACAGAGCTGAAGGCTGGAGGCACTCAGAGCTCCTGGAAGCTGCTGAGCTCCCTTACACCTTGCTGGAGAGGAGGGCTGGAAGGACATGGCAGGATGTGCTGGTGCTCACAGAGTGGCCTAAGCAGGAAAAACGCCTGAGTGAGCATCACCTCTGCATGCCAGCAGGTGCTGCACGAGAAAAGAGGCAGATGGGAGCTGGCAAAGGTTGGGAACACATCTGTGCCTCCTCTGCCTGCCCAGAGCTCACAGGGGCACCCTCTGGCTGTCAGCCTCCAGGCTGCTTGGCCCCTAAACCTCTGCAGCAGTACCATGTTTCCCTGCTTCCTTGGCCCGGACAAGAGAGAAAATCCCCGTGGGCAGTAGCCACCTCATGGGTAATAGCCATCCTTGGGGTGACAGCCATCGAGGGTTACAGCTTCTTGCTGAGCCTTGTCACGGGTGCTGGAGTGATGCTGGTCACACTGTGCAGTGAGGTCCCAAGTGTTGTCTCTGTCCCAGGCTCTTCTGGGGCTGGGGACACCAGGCATTGGAGCCACTTGCCAGCCCCACAGCAGCTCTGCAAATAGCACTGGATGGCAGCTGAGTGCTTTTCCCAGGCACTGCCACCACCTGCCTGACGGTTTGAGAGGGCCTCAGGCTGTGGAGGCAGGACACCGGCCGGCGTGTTCCTGTGCCTGCTCCTGCCCCAGCCAAGGCTTCCTCTGCCCCTCAGGAAAGGGAACCTGTATTTCCAGTCCCGTAACTGCACTCAGACCCAGATTTATAGTTAGTGCACACTCTTTGGTCAGGGAAGTGCACAGAGCTGAAGGCTGGAGGCACTCAGAGCTCCTGGAAGCTGCTGAGCTCCCTTACACCTTGCTGGAGAGGAGGGCTGGAAGGACATGGCAGGATGTGCTGGTGCTCACAGAGTGACCTAAGCAGGAAAAACGCCTGAGTGAGCATCACCTCTGCATGCCAGCAGGTGCTGCACGAGAAAAGAGGCAGATGGGAGCTGGCAAAGGTTGGGAACACATCTGAGCCTCCTCTCCCTGCCCAGAGCTCACAGGGGCACCCTCTGGCTGTCAGCCTCCAGGCTGCTTGGCCCCTAAACCTCTGCAGCAGTACCATGTTTCCCTGCTTCCTTGGCCCGGACAAGAGAGAAAATCCCCGTGGGCAGTAGCCACCTCATGGGTAATAGCCATCCTTGGGGTGACAGCCATCGAGGGTTACAGATTCTTGCTGAGCCTTGTCAAGGGTGCTGGAGTGATACTGGTCACACTGTGCAGTGAGGTCCCAAGTGTTGTCTCTGTCCCAGGCTCTTCTGGGGCTGGGGACACCAGGCATTGGAGCCACTTGCCAGCCCCACAGCAGCTCTGCAAATAGCACTGGATGGCAGCTGAGTGCTTTTCCCAGGCACTGCCACCACCTGCCTGACGTTTTGAGAGGGCCTCAGGCTGTGCAGGCAGGACACAGGCTGGCTCTTCCCTGGGAGAGCAGGACTGCTCCAAAGGCAGAATCTTAGAAACATAGAGTCACAGATTATGATTACCCAAATAAAACTGCTCCCCTTCCCCACCCCCCAAAGGGTGAGTGAGGCTGCACAGCCCAGGGACAGGGCACTTACCGTAAACCCAATGCCCACAGTGGCAGAGAAGGAGCCAGGGATGAACTTCCCCTGGTCAAACTGGACCAGCAGAGATGTCTTCCCCACACCACTGTCTCCAACAAGGATCGTCTGCAAGGACCAGGTAAAGAGGTGTCAGGGTATGGGAGCAGGTGATGCTCAAGCCCAGGGGCAAGGTGTGCAGTCAGAGCTGGGTGTCTGGGGGGTTGCAGCAGTGAATAGAGCAGGATCAGGGGGGACCATGCCAACCCCAGCCCGTGGCAGGGCCATGAGTCCTGTGGCAGCCCCGTGGCACAACCCCACTGCACAGCCCTGCCTGGCAGCAGATTGTCCCCACAGGCTGCTGGGTGTCAGGTGGCTCATCCCGCTGCTCCTTGTCCTTCATCTTCACCTTTGGTTCTGCCTGGGGAGGAATTTCCTCCCCTCTGACCATGTCTGTAATAAATGAAATGTGCTCGAGGCTGAACTTTGGGCAGGACCCTGCTGTGCTCTCTCTGAGTGCAGAGGGGTGGAAGAGAAAGCAGAGTGCAGCCTGTCATAGAGAGTGAGCAGGAGAGATGCTCCTGCCCTGGCTGGGGAAACTGCTGGGCAGAGGCAGCCTTGGCTGGCACAGCCCTGGTGGAAAACCTCTTTGGGAAGACTCTGGGGTTGCTGGATTGGGTCCAAAACTGTTTAGTAAAGAGAGTGTCTCCCACAGCTGCTGTGTACAGCCACTGCCAGAGCCAGGCAGCCTCTCCGGGGTGCTGGGCTGCCTTCATGCTGCACTAATGCTGAGGACTCACCCTGCTTCCCCCCAGCAGGGTGCTGGGTATGGAGTCATGGAGCCCCTCTGCCCCTCCAGCCCTTTGTGGGAAGCTCCAGGGCTCTCCCACAGGGAGCAAAGCTTGGTTGTTTTTGAGCTGATGGACAAGGGAGCTGTGCAGGTGTCAGAGCCAGGACACTGCCATTGCCTCCTGAGCAGCTCCCTCGTGGCCACAGTACCCCCATCCTCTTCTGCTCCTCCAAATTCCTTCCCTAAGGGAGACCAACAGTGCAAACACAAACCCATCCCTCCCCTCTCTGCCGGTATCTGGGCTGTGTTGTTGGCAAACATTCCCATCCTTTCAGGAAACCCAGGCGCTTTCAACCCTTTCACAGGGACACAAGTTAAAATAAACACACGGTTAATTGGCTTCTTGCTCAGAAGTGGTTTTGGCTCTCTCTTTCAGGACATGGGTGTTCCTGTAGCCACAGCCCTGGCAAGCACCAAGGGCAGCCCCAGGGCAGCCTCTGTCACCCGTTCACTTGTCACCCCTAGGCCAGTGAGGGGCTGGGGCTGAACCTCCCCACTCTGCCTCCTTCTGTGCTGCATTTCACTGTATCTGCTGTTTCCTCCCTGGAGTTGTGTTTAGGCTGATGCAGCTCCAGCAGCCCTGCTCCATCTTTGGGCACCTTGGCCCTTCATCCCCACACTGGGTGACACCATGGAAGCCACTCTTGGCTTGTCGAGCAGAAGCTGTTTCTTCAGCATCTTCCCAATGGCCAGGGGAGCCTGCACAGGGCTGGTGCCACCTCTCCATCACCTGCCCTGCCCCAGTGTGAGACCCAGCCTGGCATCACTGGAGGCACTGCATGTACCCCCTGGTGCTGGGAGGTGTAACAAGCCCAGCTGCATCCTGCAGGGCTCTCTGTGGGAGCAGTAAATGCAGAGAAGGGCATTAATTATGGAGGGAGGAGAGTGGGCTGGAATGAGTACCAGAAAGCCTCCAGAGTTCATGATTTACAGAGAAGATGTATGAAAGGCAGACTCCCCTATTAATAATTTAATTGGGATTTAGAATAGAGACAACTCAGGAATGGCTTCATGATTTAATAATAATTATAATAGCAAAACTTGACCTGAATCAGCCAAGAGACTTTCCTAATGACTTCAGGAAAAGCTCAAGGGCTCTGTGGAGGTACAGCCCCATGGAAAACACTGTGAACTTCCTGGCTGTGAAATAAACATAAAAGAAATATAAAAACCTCACTGTGGAGTGGCTGGGACTGCCCAGCCATCAAAACCTCAGGCTGAACAAGCCCAGGTCTCCCAGCAACAAAACTCTGAACCCCTCCTGCTTCTTCCCAGCACTCTCAGCCACAGTCCAGCCTCCCCAGCACCCACGGGGGGGGTTTCCTTTGCTTGGAAAACTAGCAGAAAAGTGCTTTGCTGGGGTGTGCAGAGGAGGGCTGGCCAAG